GTCAAGTCAAAAATAACCAATCATGCAGCATTTGGACCTTGCGTCTACGTATTTCCATCTGGCGGATTTGTCATACGCGAAAACCCTCATTGCAAACACACATAATGTGTGTTCACATGACAGTCCAGTTATGCAGATCCTGCATTGCTGGGTCCCGAAAAACTGGATTGACGTGGGAACAAGCCCTTACTGTCCGTGATGTAAGTAGGTACTTATATTTTTTGAAGGTTGCATAAACCCTTACTAACTTAACTTCGAACTCCTCCTATGTTCTTCCGTTTTATTTCGTTGCAGATCCATTGACAGTTCAATCCTTCTTTGGGACAAACTTGATCTTTATTGCTTGTGTTTTTATTGGCGGTCAAGCTGTAGATCCTGGCTACACAGGAGTTGCAGCGGTGGGAACCAGAGGTGGGAATAGTCCCGTTTCACAATGATGATATAGGTGACGCAGAAGCTCAAAACCAAAGAATGCACGACTAATTTGTGCCTATCAAATACAATGGAATATTCGAAAATCGAATCTGCGGTTATCGAGCTGGTTTTAAATGTCGTAATTATATCGAGTGATCGAAACCTATTAACCTCGCGCGTGGACGAATACGCAGTATGTGTGTTATTTATACACATTATTATGTATTTTATGTGTATAGTATACGTATGTAGATGAAATATGTAATAGATAAATTATTATACATACTAACTGTACAATCTTATTAATTGATCTCAAATCACTTCGCAAATTGTAGTCAAGGGTGAAACCAGCATGAATTTGGTGAAAAGCTCATAAAACTCATTTATTTTTGCAAATAGGCTTTTAAAAAGCACTTTTTCACGTCCCAGTAGCAACCTTATACCACTGCTTCGGGACAATAAATGGGCCAGTGCTGAAAAGAAGCAGCGCAAGAAACTGTCACTATTGTCAGCCTCCTTTTCAAGGGTTTACAGTCTAAAATATTGGAGGCAGCCAGCAGAGAGAAAACTTCTTTCAAGAAACATTTTGGAAAATGGATGTACCCAAGTGTATAACATTGAACCTAAATAAGGGCAATCTTTTACTATGCATACTAAAAAGAATTGAATTGAAGAATTGATGCGCAAGTTGACTAATGAAGTGAGGTTTTGAGATATCTCTATTTACAAAAAACAAGAGTAAATTTTATCTAGTTCCGTCAAGTTCGATTACCACCAACAAACAAGCGAAAAAAGATTTATTTGTACAGCTAATTGTGTTCTTATTTATTTATTTAACTTTTCGATTACGCTGATCTTTTGAACTTTAGTCGGCCATACTGGATTCTAATTCCCTCGTCTTAATTTATAGGTTATTGATAAGTGGTTACGTCATCTTTAAGGAATGAGACAAAGTAATGGACTGTTTGATTTACAAGTAGTAGTTTGTATATTAATGTATTCAAATATGAAAGTACGAAAGGAAATTTACCTCTGGCAAATTAGAGGGTCGTTCTCCTACAGTGGAGACTGAATGACCTGATGATGATGATAATAAAAGAAGAGTATAATAAAGTTCATCAACATCTTCATAATTTCAGCCATAGGGCGTCCACTGCTGAACATAGGCCTCTCCCAATGATTTCCACAATGGCCGGTTGGTGGCGGCCTGCATCCAACGCCTCCCCGCTACCTTCATGAGGTCGTCGGTATAATAAAGTTGAAATTGAAATTTTCCACAAGGTTCCTTTTGTAACCTAGATGAGCACTAACAAAGGACTTTCTATTCAACCCCTAAAGGGATAAAACGGGGGTGAAACTTGTATGGCGCGATAAAGGTTTTCTTGCCCAAACAAATGTTTCGACACAGTGGCGGCGTAACATAGCTTGACACCTAAGGCACTCCAGAATGGTCTGGTCTGATGCCCCCCAGGATTTTTGAGTTACCGATTCGAAGATGAAAGATGATGTTAGTACGAAACAGCTATATGATACTAATCGCACCCCCATGATCCTTGTCATGCAGATGCGCCAGTGGGTACTAATTTGCGCGACTGTTGTCACCACCCTGATGCTTGGCACCCGGGGCGGACCGCCGCTACTGTTTCGACAACCCTGGACAGACTGTCCTGGAGCCGTAGAACGAGGAGAGCTGACCCTAACCCCCTTACTAATAAAACTTACACGCTCGTTGAACAGTGTTTTAAAGTGACGTTTAGTATGGAAATGTCAATTTAAAACAGTGTTGAACCACTGTGTAACTTTTTATTAGTAAGGGGGTTTATAATTGGAACTAAGACAAAGAAGAAAAAGATAAAGGCTTTCTATGACTGGCTGCATTGCACGCGAGCGTAAACAATATTATACTTAAAATGGAATTTGGACTTATTTTTGAAATTTGAAAACAAGAAAAACATTGCACAAACAAGAAAACTCAATAGATTGCTTCAATAGTTACTGTCCGAGAAGAAATATTATGATCAGATGCATCATTTACTTTAGTAAATATACGGTTGCAATCTTGGTTATACCAGCTCTGATGGTAGAAAGGGAAGACTCTGATTATGAAGATCCTCTTTTTCTTATAATAATAATAATAATAATAATAATAAAATCATTTATTTGCAAGAACATGGTTAGATTGGTGTTAATTTAGTTAATTCCAGCATATTCTGTCGCATGCGACGTGCAAAAGTTTTTGTTCTTAAAGTTATGTTAATTGTTATTGCTACATTTGGTCTTAGATTTTACATATTTTTACAACTCAAAATACTTATTATACTCATAGTTGGTTTTCATTACCATGATAGTAACAAGTAACAATACAATAAATACAGTCATGTATGTATAAGTACTTAAATATTAAGACCAATCTATTTAAAGGCAATGCACTAAATGCACTTTTGAATGTATAATCTTACGAAATCACTATCACTAAATTATCATCTTGTACATACTAAAATGCGCTCTGTCATAAAGACAAAGACTGACGACACTTACTATCTTATTACAATAGTTATTTAAAAACTTTGGAGAAAAAATACTGCAAGCTGAACTGAAACCTAAAACTTGTCTCAAGAAATCTTGTCCAAACTCCTTCATGTCAAATATGATACATGAAGGTGGATATGTAAGTAGGTGACTTTAGGAGTAGGAGTTGAAAAACATAAAAACTATCGAATGAAAATCTCAAAAACCTGGATTCGATGTTTATGTCGGGACGACAGCACATCAAGGTAATCCATTTGGTATCTTGTTCTGTGGTAATAGAGGCAATTTTGCAACAAACTTATAGTCTAATCGGATATGCTATTGCTGTACTTTGTAGTTTTAGAGAACAAAACGTAGTACAAATGACAAACCGTAAAGAGCACCTATACAAACAACCAATCTTGGTCTTACAAAACGACGATTAACGACTTATAGAAAGTCTAATTCCTTATACACTTTACACAATATTTTCACACATCCAACGTACTGTCACTTATAGCATTATATCACTCATTCACTGACACTTCCACAGATCCACATCACTTATAAATCCATGAATTTTCGAACTATGACACTGAAATCTCCGAAATGCTGTTATAAATGGAAGAATACAGTCAGTTGCAAAATTATAATAAAACATCCGCGTATAGGCGCTCGCGATTACGGCAAGACTGTTTTGTTGATTCAATTCATAATTCCTTTGCTCATTATCAGTGTTACAAAGATTATGTGGCATGAAAACTTTAGGTATTGTGCCTAAAAAGTGAAGTCCTCTGAGATTTCTTTATTCAAATGGTTTCTGAACAAAAATTTTACCTAAACTCTAGCCGTCATGTGTCTAACACTCACCAGTCACCTCTATAGGGTAAACGTAAGAATACGAAAAATATTTTTAATGCATCAGTCAAAAATTTTGCTTTTGATAAATAAAATAGATTTTTTTAGTCTAATTGTTGTACATACAAACAATTTGCTATTAGCAATGAAGCAATTTTTTATATAATTATTATAAAAAATATTACCATACATACATTTAGGTCTCTAATCATCATCATCATTTCAGCCATAAGACGTCCACTGCTGAACATAGACCTCCCCCAACGATTTCCACAATGGTTTCTAATCCATGAATAATATTTTGAATTAGTAAAGGTGTAGGCACAAAGCTAATGTACATCTTAATGCAGACTCGACAGTAGTCGCTTCTGCAAGTTCCATAATCTCTGACCCTCCGCGTTCATTGGTCGATCTTATATCAACAGACGGTTCGCGCTAAGTGAACCCAGTGCGTCTCACTTGTCACACGGTTTTGGTTCTTGGGTTATGTCATTTACTATTGATATTGTGTTATACTAATACTAGGTATGTAGTTATTTTAACACTCAATAACCTACATGAAATTAGAGTGACTGATGCCCGTTTTCACAATCAATCCCTAATTTTTAAGTGACCCCTATGAAAACAAATTCCTGTTAAGTGTTACCTTACGGCTCACTTAAAAATAGGAATTAACGACAGGAGTAGTAGCGCGTTTTATCTAAGTACATACAAAAAAATCGCCATTTCCTGAGGGGGACGAGGAAATGTCATTTGTGTAAGCTTTGATGGCCCTGGGACACTATCGATATTTTTGTCGATGAGAGTCATTGCTCTATGGTTCATAGTCTATGACTCTTAAAAAAAATGATGGTTCGAACCCCGCCGCTGGACTATTGTGGTGAACCCATTCGTAACACAAGCTTATTTGGGCAACGGCAACTGTCGGCGACCATCGGTGTTATTCGCGATGCATCGGTAACTGTAGCCGACTTAAGGTAGCCTTTCGAACTAAGCGTCACTGACAGCGTCTTTAGCTTTGGTCTTGTGCCACCAACGCCGCGTCACTAAGTCGCTTCGAAAGGCTAGCTTTAAGACCAAAGCTAAAGACGCTGCGTCTGTGACGCTTAGTTCGAAAGACTACCTTTAAGTCGCAGATATACTGTTGCTCGTCTATGAGCTCCCTTAGTACTTATTTTATGTCAAAAACATTACTTACCCATAATTTTCTTGGGCGGTATCTTCCTCAGTTCTTTCTCCTCATTCTCATCCCTCCTCATCATCTTCCCCCCCTCGTGCCACTTCCGCTTCCTCCCCTCTCTCTCCTCCAAATACATCCCGAAGTCCTCCTCTCTCCCCACCAAGGTCACCCTCACTGAAGACTCCCAAGTGAACGGATCATTACGATCAGACATATCTGGATTGTCCATATACATTACTGGGCCATGCCCGAAACCTAAGCCTAGATGAGGTGAGATGAAATGATAACGGCGTCCCGCTTTCACACGTTAAAACAGAACGAAGAATGAGTTGTATAACTTCTTTATGCCAGTGGTTTCTCTTTGACGGTGGCTTTGGAGGAGTTCGTTCTCGATGCGCAGGAGCATATTGGTGTTGCAGCGACAGAGGTGGTATTGGATGTGGGGCACGAGGGTAGGCGAGGATTGCGTGAAGCGGCTTCCGATCAGATAGGTCGGCTGGCTGATCGCCTCCATGGGTGTGTGGGCTGGCGCGGGGAGACGATGGCTATCTGACGATGCTATGGCTCCTGGAACAAGGGATACGTAAATTAGAATGGAAGAAAAATAGATGATAAATAATTTTGGGGAGACCAAGGAGAGCTGCGACAGTACCTCTAGCATGAACAACTTTCGTCTTGAATCGTTTGCGTATTCGACAAAATTCGATACTCAACCTGCAAATTAAACGATAACGTGACAATTTAAGCCTATTTTAATATAACCAAACAATCAAAAATCTTTCCTCTTTTAGAGTCTTATATTTATTTATAATATTAGTGTGATTATTAATGACTCTTTCATAGCTCGCTTTGTTTGCAAGGATATTTATTTATGAATCCATTAATGATCAAACAGAATTTCTTACCAACATTTCGGTATGAACTGGTAAATTGTTATTCAAATTAAATACTCATAAATATTTTGGTAATAGCTTTTACAATTTTCTGCTTTTCTAAACGATATTTTAGGAGTAATTTGGTGATGAAATCTTATGTGTTGTTTGACATATTAATTGTGTACATTAGGTATGCATTTAGACGAGAAGGAGTGAAACAATGGGCTTGTATATTTATGAATAATTTCGCCTTATAACATTAGTGTAACTAGCTTTTGCCCACGGCTTCCCCCGCGTGAAATTTAGATTGTAGCACAGATCGTTTTATTTATAAATTATAGCCTATATGTTATTCTGATTTATAAACAATAATACTGTAAAGTTTCATCAAAGTCCGTTCAGTTAATAGGATTTTATGCTTTTGCCGGCGGATTCTAAAATCAAAAATCAAAATCAAAATCAAAAATATTTATTCAGTTTAGACCACAAGTGGCACTTATGAACGTCAATAGAAAATAATAAAAAAAGAAAAAGGTAGCCCTTATGGGGCACTTTACATGTCTCCTTATCTTTTGGGCCCTACCAGCGCTTCGAGACAAACATATGGCAAGTGCTGAGAAGAAACGCCGGAACAAACTCAGTCACCACTTATTGCCAGGAATTATCTAACGGTAAGAATAGTCAAATTTAAGTACATCAAATATGTGCAGACTGAACTGACCACGCATCCTTGTCATCAATATAGTCTCGAACCTTGTGACATAAGGGTATTTTTTATATGTATCTTAAATTTGTTTATTGGCAATTCGACAAGGTTGTGTGGTATTTTGTTAAATATGGTAATACATTTCCCCAAGAATGAATTACCTATCTTATGCAACCTAAATGATGGAACAGCAAGTTTATTCTTATGTCTCGTGTTAAATGAGTGGACGTCACTTTTCTTAGTAAATAAATGTATATGTTTACGGACATACATAATGTTATCAAATATGTATTGCGAAGCCACAGTCAATATATTGATTTCTTTAAAAACTTCTCTAAGCGAGTCACGTGGATCCCGTGAATTTCAGTCTGTCATTGAATGACTTTATCGTGCGCATTGTCTCTCTTTGAAAAACAGGGATATAAACAGGGATAGGAACACACTTTGATATTGGACTCTAAGCGCGAGTTTTGATTTCCGTTCATACATATTACATATCTTCTACTATATAAAAATAAGTCGAGTTTTCCTCCCTGACGCTATAACTCTAGAACGCACGAACCGATTTCCACGGTTTTGCATTCGTTGGAAAGGTCTCGGGCTCCGTGAGGTTTATAGCAAAGAAAATTCGGGAAAAGGGGGTAAAACAGGATCCACGCGTACGAAGTCGCGGGCGGCCGCTAGTCTACTATATAAAAATAAGTCGGGTTTTCCTCCCTGACGCTATAACTCCAGAACGCACCAACCGATTTCCACGGTTTTGCATTCGTTGGAAAGGTCTTGGGCTCCGTGAGGTTTATAGCAAAGAAAATACAGGAAAATTTAACAAACGAAATTCCACGCAGGCGAAGCCGCGGGCGGAAAGCTAGTTTGGTATAATTTTAAACGTATAATCACAACCAAAAGCATATTGAAATTTGACAGTAAGTTGACGGACGGATTGCGATTAAGATTTATTATAGAAACCCGGTGATAGTGTGGATTTTGTGAGCAAAACACATTGAAGTAGAAAACTGAAAAAGTTAATCTAATGTAGGATGTATGTACAATGTACATGATTCGGTAATTTAACGTTTCAGTAAACGCCGCGATGTGTGTCAGAGTAACGGACGAAGACAATTACTTAATTGCTGAATTAGTTTAGTTTAGTTGTGATTTTAACGTGCGTGTAAAACAGTCAACGTAGTAGAAAATTGGATTGGAGAAGATATTTCTGGGATTTATTTCCAATAAGTTTTCCAAGTTCCTAACGAATATGTGATTTTTTAAAGTGAATAAGAGATATACAGTTCTAAGTTTTCAATGATTGAATAAATATGATAGGACTACAATAGTGTCAGAATAAAATTGTATGAAACTACTGTAATGTTCTACCTTTAGTTTACGCAAGTATATTTCTAGAATAATTATTTTATTTAGTCAAAATTCTTACGTGTATCATTTACTCACAGAAATTACTACCTTAATTGAAGAACCATACAGTTAAAGGCGAAAGTACATGAGAAACGAGACATAAAAAAAAACCTCAAAACATTATAATAAAAAATCTTAATAAACATTTTAATATTAATCGATAAAATAAAAACCACCGCGATTACTTCACACCACTATCTCACCTTTCAGAGTCCTCAAAGCACAATCAAAAATCACAAAACTTTTGTCCAATATCAGTTCAAATCAAATCACGTCGGCCATTTTGGCGAATAACCACATTAGTTTGGCCATGATCCAGCCATCCCCATCCTTGAGGTACATCATAATTTAATCTACCATCATGCACTTTGATACGGCGCACGATTACTATCAAATAGAAATTTCCTGTGCAGACCCTTTTTCACTATCGTCCCAACGCTCAGTTTGCACGAACGAAGAACATGGGAGGTACTGATGGATAAATTGATGCTCGCGAGACGGTCAAATGAATAAGTACGCAATATTGTTGTTAATTCGCCGGCCAATAGCGTACATGGACGACGTCGTTGTGGATGCTCGGAATTGGGACCACTTGCCTCGCAGGGTCACATAATGGCCGGGTCAAGACGGAGTTGGGTACCGTTGAGGAGATAATGGTTCTGTACTAGGTTCGCAAGTACCGTGCTGATTTATTCACCGTTTAACTGTTACGTATGTACCTCAGGAATCTCAGGATGAAGCCAACAAAGATGACTTATTTACGTATCTTACACAAAGGACCTCACGACTTCTTTCTTTGTACCATATTTTCAAGAAACGTTATGTATAGTATACCCACAGGAGACTCGAGACAAATAGTTCACTTTTAAAACCAATGATTAAATGTGCAATGTCTTGTTTAATTTCAACTATTTGGTATTTACGGATGTAAAAAAAAACTGAAACTCTTATATAAAGGGGCTCTTTACATGTACTATTATCTTTTTGAGCACTACTAGCGCTTCGATCATAGTAATATGGTAAGTAGGTAGCAGTTAAAGGGGGTGAACTGCGAAAATAACTCATATGATAAAAATAGCAACCCAAGAGTCGAAAATTCTTAGAACCCTCCTTATTCATAAGATGACAAACGTTAATTAATGTAAAAGACTACCATCTTTTGTCTCTTTAACGAATATTTTGAACACGTGTTCATTGTGTCAATAAAAAAATTAGTATCGTGAGTACTCGATGCATTTGCTGTCAAAACATAATTGGACCCATTTNATATCCCACCGCTACCTGCTCAGTTCTTCCTCGAGTTCGGCGAGCCTCATGTCAGTCCGCAGTATGCGAGTGTTAAAGATTGCCAGGGCTAGAGATCCGTCCGGTGCTGCAGGAGTTTTTGTCGCCTCTTACGACACGCCATTCATGACACGCTGTTCCTGGTAGGGAAGAGTACTTATTCTTTATGGCCGTTCCCACACGGCACAAAGAAGTTAATATACAGAAAAATATCAGAAGCAAGGCCGTGATGACAAAAAATGACATGGACTTACTTTAGCTTACAGGAAAAGCTATATCTGAGGCTAAACTAACAGAATATTAAAAGTATTCTGCATCTAATACCAAAACGACACACACTATTTCTACAAAACCCTGAAAAGCAGCAACATAGAAGACCATATCGACAATATTACCGGGCCTATCGATTTTGAGGTAGAAGACGATAATAATAGTGATTTTAGTTTGAAGGGTTCGTGATTCCAATTCACCATCTAATAAAAGGCATTAAAATCTATATTTATACATATAGAATGACTTTTAATTTTAGATATGTTACGGTTAAAGATAGGCGTGAACATAAACTTAAGATTAGCCGGCTAAACTTAAGTTTATCTTCGAGAAGCAGCTAAAGTTCGATAACATGTTAGTTTGCGTCGTGATATTCCATCTTTAGCCGGCTAATGTGCACATTAGCCAAAACGAAACGGCTAAAAATGTATTCTATGGGCGCGCCAGGCCGGCGGAGGGCTTGAGGGGGCGGTGGGGAGACAACGCGCAATTTGTAATTTTAACACACTACAGAAGATCCTATAATGACCAAATGGTTCCTTATTATTTTATTTTAATGATTAGGTAGATATTATTTTAAGTAATTAATATTTTGTTATTGTAATAATTGTAATTTTAAATACCTACATAGTAGGGTGGTCCTTTTTTTTCGACTTTTGAATTATCCCCGGGGCACTTTCTCATTCGATTATATACCTCTAAATATGAAATTAGCTATTTTTGTTTTTTTTTTGGTTAAGATTTAGAGGTCGCTACCAGCTGTCAAAATATTTACAAAAAGCTTTGAAGATCTTAAATCATGGTTTCATAAATGTTTTATTTAAGTGTTTATATCACATTTTACATGCAAATGAACATCGCATAGATATAATAGACAATCACTTCTTGTCCCCTTCTCCCCTCAACCCCTCTTCTGTACCGACCATGGTACCGACGCGTCGAGATACTAACAAGTCAACTCTTATATCTTAAAAATAATTGATTCAAATATGTACATTGTACATAATATCTTAGTTCATAGCAACAACAATAATTTTGTAATATTTTTTTTGGCTTCGGCTAAAAATAAATGAATCTAACAAATACAGATTTCGTATTTTTACTTAAAATTCAAACCTTGGTAGCGACCCCTAAATGTCT